TTATAGTAAGAATTTATATAAAATTGGTTAGTTAAAATACAAATCAAGCTGATAGGTAAGCACGAAAAGAATAGAAAATCTTGATTTTAATAAATATGTAATTAAAGAAAAGACTTAATGTAATTACAGTCGGAGCACCTTTAGAGGTCAATGAGCCGTGCGTATTAGTATACGATTACGTTTTACGCAATCAGTAAAAATAACGAGCATATAGCCAGATTGTTGGGTAAATATTCAGAAGAACGTAGCACTTTCGGAAATTAATGACCTTAACATATGTTGTCCTTAATGACCTTAACATATCTTGATTTTAATAAATATGTAAATAAAGAAAAAACTTAATGTAATTGCGTATTAGTATATAATTAAGTTTTACGCAATCAGTAAAAAAATCGAGCAAATAGCCAGATTGTTGGGTAAATATTCAGAAAAACATAGCACTTCCGGAGGGCAGGGGAGACTGGGGCTGATTGTGACACGGGTAAAAAGTTACAAGCTTTGATTAGTGATGAAAAATAAGTGCTACATTAATGCTAAAACAAGACAAACGCGACAACTGTCACGCGTCACACGCGTCAGTAACATCATCGTTGTTGCAATTATTTTTCATCGCTAATTTAAGGTTGTAACTTTTTACCCGTGTCACAACCAGCCCCAGTCTCCCCTAATGACCTTAACATATGTTGTCAAGGACACCTTTCTGAACAACATGCAATTTTTAGCCGTCGTTGTTTGTTAAAAAATTATAAACAAAAGAAGTTGTGCCAATAAACTGTTATTTTCATATCAGAAATGAATTCTTATTTTTCGACACCGTGTACATTTTGTTTGTGTTGAAAGCGTGTAGGCGGTGCGGCTGTGCCCCCCCGCAGAAGTAGGGGCTTCGCTCTTTTCCCCTGCTCCCTCCTCACGAAAAAATGAAGAATTCAATTAAGTGTCAAGTGAAGAATTCAATTAATGTTTTACCAATGTTCCGAAACGTGGAATATTACTTCGCATATCTCGCCAAATTCTTTCGATGTTTTGCGTGTGACAATTAGTATGAAGATCTACGAAATTTTCTTTGTGATTTACTATATAGTGAGTGTAACCGTGCATATTGATGTTGTTATATGCCTTCATTTTCCGTGAAGGGGGAGCTGCGGGAAAACGCATCTCTTCCTGCCTACACGCTTACAACACGAACAAACTGTGCACGGTGTCGGAAAATAAGAGTTCATTTATGATATTTCTTTTGTTTATATTTTTTCAACGAACAACGAGCGACTGCTAAAGTTGCAGATTGTTGTTCAGGAAAGTCCTTGACAAAATATGTTAAGCTCATTGACCTCTAAAGGTGCTCCGTTTTTCTAAATATATACCGATTGTTGTTTGCGCATACTTAATTTCGTCCCTGATTATGCCACGTAGGTAGTTACAAAGTAAAAGTCATGTAATTAATTATGACTCAAAATGTTGTTCATAGTCCAGTTTAATTTATATTCAAGAAGTGTCACGTATGTTGCTTGAAAATAGTTTAAAAAATTATTTTACTGCAGTGTTAGTACATTGAAAACAATTATAATTTGATAAAAATAAGTCTTTTTATCAAAACATTATTCGTATATCTGTCTAAAGAGTAATACTAATTTATATATATCTATTTTTATAAAATTTAAGTTTTATAAAAATTTACAAAATCTATTTCCTAAACTGTTTAATAACAACAAGTTTTTTTATCAAAACGTACATACAAAACACATGTATTAAATACTTGTCTGAAAAGTAATCACTTTATTTTCATAAAATCTATATAAACATCTAGTGTTTCTATACAAAAAAAAGATAAATTACCGCACTTAGCCAAGTACTCTAGTAGCGTCAATTTAAAAAAAGTGATTAAGTATTTGTATTCAGTTTTTAAAGCATTTTTATAGTAAATGATTAAATTAAAATAAGTTTATCAAAATAAAGATTTTGTCAAATGTTTTTGACAGAAATGATTAAAACTAAATTCAAATAAAATCAATATCTGTTGAAAATAAATTTGACGACAAATTGACAATAAAAGCCGACTTATTAAAATCATAATAATGTAAAATGACATCTTATAGCAAGTTTTTAAAGAATTGTGACAAATCTGCTTAAAAACCATATGCTCCGTAAATGAGCTTAAAGTACAAAAATGTAGCGTGTCCAGATCGTAGTTATGCGCAACAAGCGTATAAAAGACTCATAAAAAGACTTCTTTTTATCAAATATTTTAGAAAATACGGTTTTGAAAGTGTTATGTACTTGGCGTATGTTTTTTTCTTTTGTAACTATTTTGTAAAGTAATTTGACTATTTTTTTGAATGTAAAAGTATACACATTTTATTTATTTAATTTTTTCTGCAAAAAATATATATAATAAGAATATGTAATAATACAAAAAGAATATATAATAAAATACATACATATAATAAAGTTCATACATAAATACATATAATAAATTTTATTGTTTGACACTTAAATGGCGTTTTTGATTTAAATTAGTACAGGATTTATATTCATTATCTGTCCTATATCAAGCTGTAATATTTCTGCGATTTAACAAATGCAGAAGTAGTCATCTAAACATAATCATTGATTACAAAATCTGGTACTACGCGTGAAAACCATAGATTGTGATATCCGACATTTCGACACCAATTTTTTTTCTTTTTTGATCAAAACAAATTAGACTATGAAGCTTATCAACTTATAAAACAAAGTTATCGTAAGTCTGCACCATTTATCCAAATACGCGAAAAGTGATTTTGCAGATTCGAACGTGGCAATTTTGAATTAAAAGTCGTACACTCATGTTTGAAAAAAACGTTTCCAGATAAAGAATTGCAGAAACTTTTTGATGAAAACTTAAATACATCGCAATGGGAACTGGCTAGGAAACTGATTGTTTTACAAACATGTATTTGGAAACGTTTACAAACCGTGAAAAATTCGCAAAACTTCAGAAAACGCTTGGTCTTATCCTACATGCAGAGAAAGAAGTTTAAACATAAAAATCTGCAGAAAGTTTTAGATAAAATTTCACATCTATCGCAAAGAACTGGCTAGGAAATTGAATGTTAGTAAAACACTTGGTTACTCTCAATTTAACATGTTATAATGATGTGATTTGAAATAAAGAGAAGCGGCTATCTCATATCTTATTGTATTTTATTTCTAACTCTCACGGCCACTAATTTTAGCGTACGTTTACACAGAAAACATTGTTTTTACTAACTGTAACGGTAACGACGTTACAAGTAACGTGTTACTTCTCAACCCTGTTTGTTACATACATAAATTTTATTCTTCGTGTTTTGCAGTTTTCTGTTTCTGTTTTGTGCCATATGTCTTTTTATAAAAGTCATAAAATAAGTAGAGAAATAGTAGCATGTTCAAAAGAAATACGAATAAAAATGCTTCTGCTCGCTGTGGTACTTTGCATTCTGGATCTAGGAAAGCCTGTAGTCCATAGTATATCAGTGCAACAAACTGCGTCTATAATGTTGTGAATAGAAACTATATTAATAATCACGCATTTATAATGATATATTATACAAATATTTTATATTATCTAAAAATTATAATTTCAAAATATATTGTTGTGTATAAATTTACCATAAAAAGTTAAAACTAATTAAAGTACAAATTCGTCTAATTAAGTGAACAGGTAGTAACAATATTATGATGTATGAAGTTCAATTGTAAAATATAATGTGAAAACTTTGTTTTATATGATACATGCGTAATATACACATACTTTACAAACTTATATATAATGTAGAACTTACCATTTGTAATTTCGTAATATATGGTTTAAAAACAGATACTTTTTGTTGCATAGTTGTGCTCCACGCTGCAATGAAGTAATATGTATACATGATAACATGTATAAAACAATTAACTAAGCACACAAATGTTGCTCTGGGGTCCGCTATATATTTGAGAAAATACCATACAATAAAGACAGTAGACATATGATGATATATATGCAACGTCGAAACTTGCTTTTGTTTTTTCCGTAAAACAAATACACACGTTTCGATATAATCAATTACTTTAATTAGTAATAGCCACCATGTAATAATTATTAGCTGAAATGCACAAATTTGAAAAAAAATTATTATGTCATGTTTAAAGTCTGAAAAAAAATGAAGTAATTATATTGTTTTTACAGACAAATATGTGTTACGTTTTGTAGTTCCACAATATAATTTTATCAATACTTAACATAAAAACATACCTTTAAACCATTTGTACTCGTCAGATCATTATTATTACTACATTTTATGCTATATTTAGTAAACCAGCCGGCAGATACGTAACTGTGCACCAGCCACGCATTAGCAAGAATTTGAAATACGTTATAAAATAATATAAAGATCCTCAGATTGAATGATTGTCGATTCTTCATGTAACTTGGTCCGGCGTAAAGTACAAAATACAAGTAAGCAAAGGTTATAATTATTACTGGGAATGGCGTTTCTACTAACGCCCAATTGCGCGTGACCGAATCTACAAAGAAAAATGCAGTACAATATTTAAAATAAATTTTTCTATGCAACACTCATTAAACACACTAAGAATTAGGCTTTTTATTTACATATTGGGTGTTTGTGCGATTATAAATATGTTCTAAAACTTCTCAAAATCATATAATTTAATACACATCAACCTTCCAAGTAAAGTATTTCATTCAAAAATTTAAATAATATTTGCATCACGAATATGTGAAATATTCATTTTATCCTCTTTTGGAAAATAAAATCTTCATTCCGAAAAAGACATCTCGGCCAGTAAATCTTTTTAAACTATATTTATAATTACACGAACACTCAGCATGTAGGCTCGTATAAACCGTAAGTTATAGTACAAATGTTTCAATGAGCATTTAACTCGTAAATATTAAACATTTCGATATACATACATATATACATTAAATTATATAATGCACAAATAATAAATTAATAAATATCAGAAGACACGGCAATGCCTCGCGCCAAGTTCACGCGCAACGAAATCGCGCTCGAATATGAGAGCACACTGTGTCTCTAAATACGCGAAATTCAGATATTTGAGAAGAAAAAAAATTTTCACAGAGCAATATTTCAAAACCGTCAAAAATTAGTCAATTTTATTTTAGTCTCAATTGTATAAATAAAAAACGGATATACTTTCGAATGACCCCTGCTCCCAATCAATCTAAAAAACAGTTTGAATTAAGATTTTAATTTAAATACAATGCGCGTTTTGCATGTACATACTTGGCGCCTGTATATTTTTTTGATTAAATAAGTTCTTTAAGATATTACACATTTTGTGGTAATATACAAACACGATTCTTCTTTAATAAAAATGTATAGCACAAAAAGTTTTGTAAGAAAAGTATTGTGTCAAGACGCAAGTATTATAACAACAACAATAGTTAAATACCGTCAAAAATTATTTCAAATTGAGTGTTCATCGTTTTGGTAGCGAATAGTTACTTTACACTGATTGATTTGAGCGACTAAAAACTTATGTACGCACACTTACATACATTATTTTTTATCAAGACAACGAGCACTGACTATGTTTAATAATTTTTTTTAATACACAACAAGCAATAACTACAACCTTTTGAGAATATATAACTTAGAGAGATTTTTTACATAGTACGTGTCAAAAGTAAAGGCATCAGCATTTATATGCACATTGAAAATTTTCAGAGCATTATGTATATAAAAAACTAAATTGACCCAATTAATGAGAAATATTTACCTGCTAAGTCAATCATAAGATAATCATAAACACTGCTAACACTCATTATGTGATTTTCTGTTCACGATATACGAATAATTTTCTAAGTATCTATCTTCAGGTGAAAGGAAGTAGGTATTTACGAATTGAAAGACGGACCCGTACTGCCGCGAGTTTCGTTACACTTTGAAGTCGTATAAATAATGAACGCAAATTATTTGAACTTCGAAACATGAGACATTTATATAATAATTACCGGTTCCCAGCCAAATAACAACTGTGTCAAAAACTTGTATTGTTTATCGCTCCAGTGGTATAATGAATGCCGGCGAGAAAAAAATGTTCCAATAATATTAAAAAATACAAAATGTGTAATTTCTCGAAAACTTTTTTAAAAAAAAGTACAGGCGCCAAGTATACGCAATACACGTATTGTATTCAAATAATAAAATTAAAACTTGATTTACTGCTACAAAAAATTATTTTTCTCTGTATTGTAAACTACAAACAATTATTTCTTTACAAAATCTGGTTTACAAAAGAAGTGATATCAAAACGTAACACCAAGTTAACTTTTGTTTGTTTTATAATTATAATATACTACATTATAATAAACTACAAAATATCCACAAAGTCTCTTTTACAAAAGAAGTAATATATAGGAGAAAAGTGGCATGAAAGAGCTATGGAGCCAAAAAACTATTTAAAAAGCAATCAAACATAACGTTTATTGTTTCAATGTGTAGGTTACTTATTCCTTTGCGTTAGTTAATAAACAACAAGACAAAATCTACCAAGCTTAATAAACATATTTGTATTTAAAAGAAAAGTAAACTTCGGCTCTTTCATAACATAATGGTATTGAAAGAGCCATCAAATGTTATGAAAGAGCCGATTTCTTATAAGAAGAATCTTTAACTGTTTATAAACGAAATAATAAACAAACTATTAATAGACATTAATACAATTGTTAACAAAACATTAATATAATTGTTAACAAACAATTTTTAACCAAAATGCTAAAACTAGTTTCATAACAATCTCTTCAAAATTAACAAAACCATCAACGTAAATTTATATATTTTTTATTTAAATATAAGTAACTTTTACTATATTACTCAAACTTACAAAACGACTTTTAAACTTAGAATTGAAAGTAAAAAACCTTAATTTCTTAGGTATCTTTAGTAGCAATTTTGACAAAAAAAATTTAGTATTTTTTTTATCCCACATTTTCTATATGTCCAATCAGAATAAAGTTTACACTGAAACCATATTTGCTTACTTTTTTTATAACGTTTAGTGCACATTATACAATTAGTATAATTTTCTTTCTAGTTTTTTTTTTTATGTTTGATAATATTTTATCAGAATCTGAAGACAAATTATCGTTACATTCATTGTCAGAGCTAGATGCTTTATTAAGAATATTTTTGGATTGTTTGGTAGCCGGCTTTTTCAAAACTTTTCCTCTTAAAAATTATAATCTCAAAATACACTATCAAATTAACGCTATGAATGAAAACTATTTACATACTTGGGAGATAAAATACATATATAAAATCATGATATAATAATTTTTATATTATTTCTTTACACAAGAATGTTAAAAAACGACGAAATAATACCCAAAAATTTACTTTTCAATGACAAAATCTTTACTACGATACACCGGCGTTATTTATTTTCAATAATCTGTCAAATGTTTGTGGATGACACACGTTTAGTGTTGCTATATAAAAATTAAAACTTCTGTGAGATTTGTTCAGAAACTGCCGAATGATTGAAAATGGCTCTTTCAAAACTTGGCTTTTTCATGCCACTTTTCCCCTAACTACTACAAATTTATCTACAACATTTATATATATATTCTACAAAAGACATAATATATATTATAATAATAACACAGTAGTAACGCCAATTAAAAAACCTTTATATATATAATTTTGAACTAAGAAAATATGAATA